ATTTGTATCAGTTGTCACTAGACAACTGATACAAATACATAGTTTTTTTTTGCCTAACACAAGATTTAGTTAGCTTAACTTGGGTCTAGATGGCGCTGTGTGGATTGTCCTGAGATTATTATTAAAAAATGGTGGCACAGCAATAACAGTAACAAGCAGCCAGCAACAATACTTATATACATAGATTTGAATAAGATACCTGAAACACTGAATGCGTACCGAAATAGTCCTGAATTCGTTAATCAATAAATAATTTATGTTATACACCAGAGAATCGTTTACCTCACAGTTGAATCCCAACAAAATAAAGCTTCATTGTAACGTGATACGCTCAACAGATAGAACAGATTAATAAGATTTCACAGATGCACAAGAAATAATACAATCCCTATGAAATTTCGGAGTTGGTAACAGTTTTAATTAAACATTCCTAATTCACATATGTTGAAGATTGACTTTAGTTTTTGTAATGTGTAATGTAAAACTTCGAGTTACTGTACTTGTTAAGTTGGGCTAAAAATTACTTGTTTCCAGAGCCGTATTTTTTTTTATTGGGTTGTTTGGGCTATTGTCAGGTCTTTGTAGCACCTGTAGCATTGTACATACATAGATCTATTGTGCTCGCCCTTTTATAGAGTTCGCTACCTAGACCCGTCAGCGACAAGAATTGAAGGATATTCTTAGGAGCGATGGTTTGTATCTCCTCGGGAAAGAGTGTAAACTTTCCAAAGGAGATATTTCGTTTATGTATGAGTGGGCTATAACCACATAGGATGTGTAGTGGCGTTTCCTCTTCAGTTTGGCAGAATCTGCAGACTTTTTTCGAGCCTAGGCCTATATTTGCCATGTGCTTATATATCCAGAGCAGAAGCACATATAAAAAAAACGAAAAAGAAATATTGAGATAGTTTTAAAGTAAACCTGTAACAAATCGAAAACCAATGACAATATTCATAAACCTGATAAATTCCAGATGCTTCAGTGTATAATTTACTAGCGAGTCATCTCGGCTTCGCACAGATGCATTACAAATTTATATATATAATTTTTCGGCTTTGTCTGTATTGCAACACGCATGTATTATACATATAAACGTTCCTCTTGAATCACTCTATCTATTGCTGAAAACTGCATTAAAATGCGTTGCGTAATTTAAAAGATATACGCGAATAGAGAGCGGCGGTGACTTTGGTTTCTAATGTAAAGATTTCCAAGATGTAAAGTAGAAATTGCAAATAATATTTTAATTCCTTCCTACAAATTGCCCTGTCACGTTATGACATTAATATGAAACATTCAAAGCACTATTTTCGTTTGTGTATACGGTGTTCCTTATCGTTCCGTTCATTCAAATTCAAAAATCATTTATTCAGGTAGGGCATTTTAGCCGCTTATGAACGTCAAATTTTTACATTCTAATTTTATTTTTTTCCCTACCGTCCAGTTCGGTATATAGATCCAATTGAGAAGAACTCGCAAGAAACTCAATTGAATTATACGAGGTTTATATGCATGCAACATAAGAGGTTTATATGCATGCAAACCCCTTTATGTGCAGTGCACTCACTGTACATCAATGTCGTCGAGGTATGTCGATACAAATACCACAATCACACTGCTGGACTGCAGACGACCGCATAATGGGTAGGTGTACGAATAGATGTAGTCCATTGAAGCAGACAGGAATCTTAGTAATGGCCCTTCATTACCAAGTTTCCCTTTGGATGGTCATAGATTAATTATAGTCAATAGAGACAGCAATCGAAAACAGATACAGAATTGCAGGTACGCTGAGATATTTCGAGTGTGCGAGTGCATCATGATTAGATTAGGTTTGCTGCGGATGTCGGGGATGGTTGAGAGGAGACAAGTGCAACGGCGACCGCTCCTCTTGAATTCCCAGCGTAATATCAAATTGCGGATTTCTCCCCAAATTTGGGGGGATTTTGTGGCTGTGGGGGAATATATGGGGACATTGTGGAGTGACTTAAATTGGAACTGAGAGGATGTGTATATTAGTATATAAATGGATATTTTAAAAATAATTTCTATATTAAACTATATGAAAACAATAATATAGCACAAATATAATAAAAAAACAAGCATTTACTATTAAAAATAGGTAATGTAAAAAAAGGATAACAATTGTTATATGTTCTGAATCAGTTCATTAAATGGAATTCTACCATCAAAAAGTAATCGGATTTTAGTTAGAAATCTTAATTTTAAGGGCATTTTAAGTCAAATTGGGAGATAAATAATATAAAAGAAAAATATGATGTTTAAGTACAATACTACTGAGTTATCAGGGTTCACAATTTACTCCGTAAATAGTTATTAATAAATTATTGTTAATAAAGAAAATAATGCCGATTTACCGTAGGTAGTCTTTGTATTCTATTATCCCAAATTTGAATTTTAATTACTGTGTACTCAGTAATTAACATTCAAAATAATACACAGACTAATAATACACAGTCATTATTACAATAATTGTAACAAGGACTGTGTATTATTGTAAACATGTACAACATTTATTTGAAAAGAATACGAGCTGAGTTTCTTGTCGATTCTTCTCGTCTCGAAATCATTCAAAACTGACGATAGATTTAATATATCAGAGAGCTTGTATTCACACACTTAAACTTAAAAATGTAAAGTAATAATAATATTATTTAAAAGAGCAACACGCAAGTTTCTTGCTCGTGCTTCTTGTGATGAGACAGCTTTCCGTATGAGCGGTAGATTAAAAAAATTTAATGACTATTCAAAAGTGCTTCAATGTAAGTTTATTTGAATAAATTATTTTCTATTCTATTCTAGTCTATAATAGACCTACATGAATAAAGTCAAACAATTCCCCACCCAAAAAATACCTACTTGCATGTAATAATTTATCTAAATCATATTACTGAGTTTATTAAAGCTAAATTTGAAATATTAAATACTATTTTACATTTATTACATTATCAAACATAAGAATTTTTATGCCTATTTATGAACCACCAAGTTATATTATTTACAAATTCACCTGCAAAATGCACAGAGTTCTGGAAATACGAAATGCTTTACTGTCATATACCGCAAACTAAATTGCAAATTGGACAGACAGACATACTGTCTGGTCAGTTAGTAATAAAATATTTACTGTCCTTAAGGTTTAATCTTCTTGTTAAACAGGACTGGGGCTTGAGTGTTATTAAATTTGGTATCTATACATATAAATAAAATTGGAGTGTCTGTTTGTAACATTGAAATAACCGTTTTTTACTACATGCATATGAATATAAATACGGTACACTAAACTAAAATTTTTTATACATACACATTTATACATTTTTTGTGTATACACTAAAATAACATTTTTTACAATTTTTGTCTGTCTGTCTGTTTGTTTCGGGTAATCTCTGAAATGGCTGGACCCATTTAGAAGAGACCTTTTTAACTATGAGTAAAGCTTGTGTTATGAGTACTAGATAACTGATACAAATACATAGATAATTTTTTTTCGTAAATACATAAATATTATACTTAGAGAGCATCCAGACCGATACAAACAATCGTACTCATGAATACAAGGGGTTAAGCGCACTGCATCCTAGGTCTAACCATAATTTCCCATCAGATGAGGTAAGACCAAGCGCAAATGCATTAATAATAATAATAAAAAAAAACAAACAAAATGTTAGTGCCGTGCGAGGAATCGAACACGCGACCATCGTAAGTAGACCGTCATAATATACGGGCAAAATCTCTGTGGATGGTGGATCTCTTCGTATTTCATCTGCCTTATCTTAATAATTAGAGAAATTATACCAATGGCTACACAACGAACACAAATCCTCGGAGCGGGGTGGCCGCTCCATAAAGACACGAGGAGGCTTCTGCGCTTCCGGGAGAAGCGTGGCTGGCTACTTTAGTCTCGGCTCTATTCACAACTCATAACTAAACTCGGAACGGTGAAGTCGCTTCATAAAGCCTGTGAAGACACTGGAAGACTTCTGCGCTTCCGGGAGAAGCGTGGCTGGCTACTTTAGTCTCGGCCCTATTCACAACTCATAACTAAACTCGGAACGGTGAAGTCGCGTCATAAAGCCTTTGAAGACACTGGGAGCCTTCTGCGCTTCCGGGAGAAGCGTGGCTGGCTACTTTAGTCTCGGCCCTATTCACAACTCATAACTAAACTCGGAACGGTGAAGTCGCGTCATAAAGCCTTTGAAGACACTGGGAGGCTTCTGCGCTTCCGGGAGAAGCGTGGCTGGCTACTTTAGTAGTCTAGACTGTACACCCATGTCTAATAATCTTCACTTATAACTAAACGAGGAGAATAAATTCCAATTATATCAATGTTGGACATAAACACCTGTACACTATGTAAACAATCTGGCTTTTATAAAGGATTCATTTGAGTTTATTACCAGTTTTTTTTTCAATTGTAATCTGGAAGGTAGGGAAATATTTTAATACAAAATACATGACGTTCATAAGCGGCTATGTAGTCCTACACGAATAATTAAATTTTTGATTTAATTTGATTTGATTTGATGCCTTGATAAGAACTTCATGAAAAAATCATACATATTCTGTAAGAACTGGTATTAGGTTGCAATTGCTCTATGTTTTGTATGGTATACTCGCTTGCCCATTCTGTTATCTATACATATAAATAAAATTGGAGTGTCTGTTTGGACTATTGAAAAATTAATTTTTATTACATATGAATATAAATACTCTACATAATACTAATTTTTGTTTTTCTATTTTTATCTGTCTGTTTGTTCCGGCTAATCTCTAAAATGGCTGTACCGATTTTGACGGGACTTGTTTTGGCAGGTAGCGGATATAATAAGGAGTAACTTAGATTATTATTTTAGAAAAGTCTCTAATTAACTTTTTCGTTAAAATCCACGCGGACGAAGTCGCGAATACAGCTAGTGAATAATATACCCCGACATGAAATGGCTAATATCTTGCATATTAAACCTGTGTTTTTGTTTCAGACGCACTTCAACCCTGTCACATCGTTCCTCTTTACGATGGACTTCTTCCTGATCACGATAAATGTAAGTATTTTACATATATTTAAAAGTTTTCTTGAAGTACATACTTTAAGAGTATCATATTATCTACCGGCCAATTCAGTTACAGAACTGAGAAAAACTGTTGCATTTTTTAATTTGTTAACATTACTTATATTCACGACTATTATGCCGGATGGGGTAGTCAGAACAATATTAACTGTAGACACGGTGAACGTAACATTTGGCATAACTCGTAGTTTTATATATATACGTCGCAGTTAGTTAGAATTAGCGTCACTTAGATGCAAAATGTTTGTCAGATTTGAACACAGGACCTTTGAGATGTGAGGCGGCACAGTGCCACAATACTGTGGTAATCTCCAAGATTATGTAAATGCGTATATGTATCTAGCTTTATATTTCCATATGTAATATATACCTATAAATATATGTAAATCTTTATATGAAAAACTGTTAATATTACTATAATTATTTATTACTATATTAATTTATATAAGTTTCTGTGAGCTGTCTGCGTTGCAGGTGTCATTCTGCCGCGGAACACCTTGTTTTTTAAACTGTAATTCAGTTTTTTTTTCATTTATGATAGTGGAATAGTACCTACCAGCGCTAACGGTTTACGCTGGCGAGCCACCAGTGTACGATGATATGTTGAGCATGAGGTCAGATCAGCCCATCGTGACAAATTCACTAAGAATTCAGGGGGTCAATTGTTTTTATTTTCGTAATTCAATATTACAGAATATTTACATACGTTCGCACTTGAACCGTTGTTTATATTAAATACAATAAAGAACTGCCCATTCATATTAAATAGGCGTAATCCCAGAAAGGTATACGAGAGAATAATACAACAGGACGCGACGTACTAGCGATGGTAATAGAAATAAATTTAAAATAAACAATGAAATGAAACAAGCCCATGTGAATCTCGTTACTTCCCATAATTCTAATAAATATATATTGTACTAGCTGTCCCGGCAAATGTTGTTTATGCCATATAAATCAACAACTCCATAAAAAATAGGTATAGTATTTTTTAATGACGCAATAAAAAAATATAATTAAAAAATATTGGACAAAAAATAAAATGTTATGGGTCCACCCATTTTTTTTGCCCTTATCACTTAGGGGTATGAAAAATAGATAGTATCCGTTTCTCAGGCCTACTGAATATGCATATAAAAATTCATAAAAATCGATCCAGCCGTTTCAGAGTATGGTAACTAACATTGTGACACGAGAAATTTATATATAAGATTGTCTACTAGCTTTTCACATGCGTTTAATTAAAAAAAAATATATATATATATATATATATATTAAAGTTTAATCAAAATCCGTTGAGTAGTTTTTGCGTGAAAGAGTAACAAACATCCATACTTACATACATTTGCGTTTATAATATTATTAAGATACTATCAAAAGGTATGAGTATAAAATAGTACTTTTTAAATTGGTAATAAATCAGACATATAATGAAACAGAAGTACCTCATTAGTAGTCATTGTACCCCTATTTGTAGTACTTATTTCCAAATCTTCATTACATAATATAAAATAAAGTCGCTGTCGCTGTCTGTCCCTATGTATGCTTAAATCTTTAAAACTACGCAACACATTTTGAAGCAGTTTTTTTTTAATAGATAGAGTGATTCAAGAGTAGATAGAGAGATACTTCGCCGCGTGGATTTTAACAAAAAAGTTAATTAGAGACTTCTCTAAAATAATAATCTAAGTTACTCCTTATTATATCAGCTACCAAAAAAAGTCCCGTCAAAATCGGGATAATACATGTACAATCGTGCAAAGGCGGGGCGAGTAGCTACTTACATATATAAAATATTTCTCTTCTTAAGAACGTTCCTCGAACTGCAAGAATTTATAGAAATTATATGCCACCGTTCTTGAGATTGACTCTTAGTAGTATATTATAGCTATTCAACTATATATATACATATATATAATACATACGCCCCGAATAGCTAGTATATAAATAAAATAAACACTAAAGCACCCAAGCGTTGATTACTAACCGAGTGATAACCCAAAGGTTTCTAAACTTTAACTATTTTTTTTTCGGACTACTCTAATGCTGTTGCAGCTGGCCTTTACAGCTTCACCGGACGTTAGGGGCGAGTGCAGATGGCACTCCAAACCCGCGGAAGGACTTATGGAGCGGCTGAAGGCCAACTCCTGCCTGACGGATGCGACTTTAGTCTGAGGGCACCACTAGGGGTTCGAACCTCGGCTCAGGCCGTCGTAATTTCGATCCCCGTTTGAATTGGACGGGGGATCGATCATGGCTGCTCTACCATTAAATAATTAAATACATAATAAATAGAACGCTGTTCGCCTACTTTTTTTTAATTTCATCTGCGTTGTGCGTCTATTGAACTGTCAGTCAACGTCACAATATTTTAGGTACTGTTTTTCCTGGGATAGAATAGAATAGAAAATCATTTATTCAAATAAACTTAATTTAAGCACTTTTGAATAGTCATAACAATTTGTTTTTTATCTACCACTCGTTCGGAAAGCTGTCTCATCACAAGAAGAACGAGCAAGAAACTTGTGTGTTGCTCTTTTAAATAATCCTTGTAAGTTTACATTTATAAGTCGAAATAAAATGAATAAAGTACTTGTTTTATATTTTTATTTAAGCCTAATGTATTAGAATGTTAATTAATGTATATCTATAAAACATTACTATAATATATATTTGATATTTTTATCTAATTTATATACGACTTTGTCCTACTTGGTGTCCAGATCGTTGGTCCGTGGAGTACTGGGGAAATAACAAAAAGGTTAGTCGACATCACAGAAGACCGGAGAGCTGGCAGCTACCTCGGATAAAGAATTAGTCTAGCCATTCAAAAAGGGAACGCTGCCAGTATCTTCGGAACGTTGCCTAAAGGGACCCCTTTTAATAATATATTTATAGGTTTTTAATTTTAGGTTCTTAGTTGTACAATTAAGTTATGTAAATACATTATCTGTATTTATATACCTACCTTGTCTCACATGAGTATTCGAATATTTTGAGTGATTTCAAAAGAAATAAAATAATAATCTTAATATAATTTCAAAATATCTTTATTCATGTAGGTCTATTACAGACTCTTAAGATATGTCAAATCTACCGTCAGTTCGGAATGATTTCGAGATGAGAAGAACTGACAAGAAACTCAGCTCGTATTTTTTTTTAAATGTTGTATGTAATATAATACAGATTCATTTAAATTCAAATTTGGGAGAACAGAATGACCACTAGTACATGCTATTGAAAAAAAAAAACATATCAAACAACATCCAGTCAAAATCGATCCAGCCATTTCAGAGATTAGCCGGAACAAACAGACAAAAATTTTAAAAAATCTTATTTTATTGTATGTTCCGTATTTAAATCCATATGCATGTAGTAAAACAAGCTCATTACAATATTACAAACAGACATTCCAATTTTATTTATATATAACACAATTCATAATAATGTTGTTAAACTCAATATAAAAAAAACTGTAACATTTGATATATCACTGAAAAATGGTTAAATATTTTTATGTATCTAATATGAAATGGCTGGACCGATTTCGATGGGACTTTTTTTGGCAGGTAGCTGAAGTAATAAGTAGTAACTTAGACTACTTTTATTTTAGAAAAATAAAGTTATACTCCACGCGGACGAAGTCGCGTGTACAGTTAGTTATATATATAATAAAGCTAAACCATACTAATAATAATAATAATAATAATAATAATGTTTGAATATATTACCCCCGTAAAAAGGAAGATATAATAAATATATATATATATATATGTAATAATAATAATAACACTTATAATATATTTAATATTACGCGATAATTCCCGTAGAAAACAGACCATTTATAAGTATTATTGAAATTTAAATTCCTCATGAAGTTTCCTTCAGAAGGCAACGCTTCTGAAAGTAACAAGTAAAATCCTAACAATATATGACGTAAGACAGTTGAATTCTGTACGTACGTCTGTAGTATTTGCTGAAATCCGTGAAAGACCAAATATGCACATCCAAAGCGACTCCAAAATGGAAACGCTCGACAGATTTCACATTTCGCTTCAGGGGCACGAGAAAAAGATTTGTTACTATGTTCAGTTAGTAGTTTTATTAAATATATAAAAGATTGGTAGGTGATGTTGCGGCTCGAATACTCAGATGGTAGGTGATGTTGCGGCTCGAATACTCAGATGGTAGGTGATGTTGCGGCTCGAATACTCAGATGGTAGGTGATGTTGCGGCTTGAATGATCAGATGGTAGGTGATGTTGCGGCTCGAATACTCAGATGGTAGGTGATGTTGCGGCTCGAATACTCAGATGGTAGGTGATGTTGCGGCTCGAATACTCAGATGGTAGGTGATGTTGCGGCTCGAATACTCAGATGGTAGGTGATGTTGCGGCTCGAATACTCAGATGGTAGGTGATGTTGCGGCTCGAATACTCAGATGGTAGGTGATGTTGCGGCTCGAATACTCAGATGGTAGGTGATGTTGCGGCTCGAATACTCAGATGGTAGGTGATGTTGCGGCTCGAATACTCAGATGGTAGGTGATGTTGCGGCTCGAATACTCAGATGGTAGGTGATGTTGCGGCTTGAATGATCAGATGCTAGGTGATGTTGCGGCTCGAATAATAGATGGTAGGTGTTGATGGCTTCAGCAGATTACGGGGTGAATAAATGATATTTTGCTTGATTTCTTGAATTTAATTGGTAAATATGATGAGTGAACAAATTGTAAGTTAGATCGATCGGTTGATATTTTAAGTCTGTTCGTTACGATGCGTATTCAAATTGGATGGGTGTGCGCTCCAATCAGAACGCTCCCTTTGTGTTGCGTTTTGTTGCTGCTTGTACGCGACAAAGATAATAGTAAATTCTAATAAAATATTTTATCTATATACATATATAAATAAAATTGGAGTGTCTGTTTGTAATATTGAAATAACCGTTTTTAACTACATGCATATGAATATAAAT